TGAAGACAATTATCCTGAAGTAAAGAGTATACTTTATTAAACTAGGATTTTTTTTCCAGATAAACATATCTGAATAATGGAAGCGAGTGAAGAAAAAAAAATACTGTTCACTCGGTACCTATATGATAGCACATTAACAATATATATTTATCTAACCCTTTATTATTTAACTACCAGCTTCATAACCCGTAACCATATACAGCTATACATAACATAGTAAATAGTAATGTAACATTCTTTAATAGAAGTATCAACTTCATAACCCGTAATTTTATACAACTAGTAACATAACACAGTAAATAGTAATGTAATATTCTTTAATAGATTTACCAACTTCATAACCCGCAACTTTATACAGCTAGTAACATAACAACACAGTAAATAGTAATGTAATATTCTTTAATAGAAGTACCAACTTCATAACCCGCAACTTTATACAGGATTAAAGAATGTTACATTACTATTTACTGTATTGTTATGTTACTAGCTGTATAAAATTACGGGTTATGAAGTTGGTACTTCTATTAAAGAATGTTACATTACTATATACTGTGTTGTTATGTTACTAGCTGTATAAAATTACGGGTTATGAAGTTGGTACTTCTACTAAAGAATGTTACATTACTATTTACTGTGTTGTTATGTTACTAGTTGTATAAAATTACAGAGAATGTTACATTACTATTTACTGTGTTCTTATGTTACTAGTTGTATAAAATTACGGGTTATGAAGTTGGTACTTCTATTAAAGAATGTTACATTACTAAATAGAAGTACCAACTTCATAACCCGTAATTTTATACAGCTAGTAACATAACAACACAGTAAATAGTAATGTGACATTCTTTAATAGAAGTACCAACTTCATAACCCGTAATTTTATACAGCTAGTAACATAACAACACAGTAAATAGTAATGTAACATTCTTTAATAGAAGTAATTAAAGAATGTTACATTACTATTTACTGTATTGTTATGTTACTAGCTGTATAAAATTACGGGTTATGAAGTTGGTACTTCTATTAAAGAATGTTACATTACTATATACTGTGTTGTTATGTTACTAGCTGTATAAAATTACGGGTTATGAAGTTGGTACTTCTACTAAAGAATGTTACATTACTATTTACTGTGTTGTTATGTTACTAGTTGTATAAAATTACAGAAGTACCAACTTCATAACCCGTAATTTTATACAGCTAGTAACATAACAACACAGTAAATAGTTATGTAACATTCTATAAAGAAGTACCAACTTCATCTGGCAACGCATAATACTGTACCATTTTCGCTTCACTCACTAATTGTCAGATTCAGAAATATCTTGCTCGTGATTCATGCAGTCCTACTGGGAATTGGTATTATTTTTACGCGTTAGCTTATTCTTTTTTTTCTCAGTGTATAATTTAATGATAAGGGCGAGCTTTGTATACATTACTATCGTTATTGTACAACTTATTATTGGTACTCACGTGTTCGATGTTTTGTACATGTAAATATGGAGTACTAAGTATATAAATCAGATTGCTATCACATGTTTTTCAAACAAATCACCGTCTATAACATCTTAGTTTACAAACGGCATTTCATTCCTTTCCTTTTACATTAGGAATTGGAAATATCAATTTAGTAAATACATGTATTGAATTCTTTCTTAATCTCTGAACCGATACTCAGATGTGCCACTGGGGGGCGGGGCGGTATGAAGTTTGTATTTGGCAAGTTAGATAAATCCACAATTTACTGTGTTGAGAAGTTGTAAATTAGATGAAATTATAAGTTATGCAGACTGTATTTAGTGAGGTAGATATACGGACTTCACTGACGTCTAATAAACAAATACCGAAACACTTTAGAAATGCACGTGTTTCAACTTCTTTTGACTTAAACGAACGACCTGGTGGGTGTTATATGAAGAGTATTCATAAAGAAACGGAATTAAACAATGTAGGGATGTGGGTAACAGAATGTTTCTTTCTCAAACACCACATTTTAGCCGCCGTTCAACGAGCCTATTTATGTTGGCATTACTGT